CAGGAATGCCCGATGTGACGTCAAAGAAGCTGAGAAGTTGGCCGAGAAACACTGGCTGGACAACCTTCGCGATTTCCTGCAATAATGTTGAAATCTTAAAATAATTAATTTTTTCATAGATTGACAAACAAAATTAGCATTAGATTATAAAACTAGATACAGCTAGATAGATAGTTAAAGGGGTACATAATTATGATAAAAAATCCTGTACCTTTCCTTACGTCAGGAAAGCGTGACTCTAAAACAATTGCGTTTGTGCACCCACCTCAATGGAAATGATAAGGCTATGTTGTAGAATAGACGATTTGAAGCATCGCGCAATAGCTCTGGTAAGGCTTGGCTTTCCATTTCGACAGGCAAGTTCTTGTCTCCATTTCCTGTAATTTAGAATGCCAAAATTAGTTCCAAAGAAAAAGAATAAAATGTGAAAAAATGAAAATGAAGAGTTTAGTATTTGCTATACTATACTCTGCGTGTTTAGTCATTTGTTCAACCTTCATGACCACGCAGATTTCATAATGAATACAACATTTTGGCAAACGTTTATTCGCACGCTCGCATCAGTTTGAGGGGTTCCCAGATAATGTCATCCGTATAATCTAATCCACATGGCCTTACCATGAACAAGAATGTACACAAAAAGTTGAATTTGAACTTAAACATTGATCTGAAACTCCTTGCTACATACCTGTCAAGCTTCTGGCTAACCTGTAGTGCGGTGTCCTCCTCCAACACCTTGTACATGTCTTCAGGTTCAAGGCGTCTTCGGTAACCCTTACTGAAGATGTCGCCGAGCCAACTGCAAAATTTATCAAGAAAGTAATTGACACAGCAGGGTAAGTAAGCCTTCAACCTATACGATTATTCAATTTCTAGTCTTGTGGCGTAGCGGCAGAGTGCTCGACCCTGTGTCCTGGTGACGGCATTAATATAAGTTGAAAAAAATTGAGTGTGCCGTCAACACGTCTTGTGATTACATGTTGGAATATAAAAAAATCCAGTCCTTGCTAGTATATAACATAGGTATCTTTCGCATAGGAATATCTTATCTGCACCACTTGTATCTATAAATCTATCAGTAACTAACCAACTATTTTGTTTTGTTTATTTTGTGGGTCAGCTTTCTGGTATCATACATTGCGTTTTGTAGCCTCTACCAGGCTTCGGGAATGTCTTGGCCGACTTATAAATCACCATTGTCAACGTATCTACCTACCTATATAATATTAGAAATAAAAAATAGTCTCACCAGAAGAACAGACGTGAAAAGAATCCAGATGTCTTGAGTGGACTTTCTTCTGTGTTAGGGACCGCCATCGTCAGGACACGGTGAAGATTGCGCTGAAAACTCAGAGACTGAGAGACTATGGGACAAGCCCGTCTCGTGTGGTCTCTGTGTTTTCATCTATGTTACCATGGCAACACAGGCGGGGTACGAGGAAAGCAACTCTATTTTTGTAATTATTTGTCCTTAAGTATGATTCTAAAAAGTCAATCGTTTGTAACGAGTGCTTTCCAAGGTAAAACTAATTTGTCTTTTTTGACGACCCATCGGAGCACGTCGAAACATAATAAGACCAAATTGACTTGGAAGACAGCCCCTCATTTCTTACCCCTCATTTGTTACACTCATTTTGAGCAATTTGTTCTACAGGTAACTGGTGCATACATGAAACACGAGGGATGTTCTTTCTTTTTGTTTTGCGTGGCGGAATGATGGAGCTCTTTAGCGGCGACCCAAATGCGTACGCTTGGTGGGTTTACAGCTTGTTGTTTCCGTTACTTTCCTTATGTTTGTGCTGTCCATGGTAACTAGACATAATGCTGCTTGCCCTATTATTGTGCCACGGTGAAGAAGGTGCAAACTTTGGTTACAAAGAGTTGCAAAAACATATGTCCTTAGAATCACTCCTTATAGTAGAGCCAAGCAATGACAGCGAACTAAGTCCACTCGCTTAAAGTATGTAGTCAACAGGTGCGCGCAAGAACGAAAAGGTTATGCCAAAAAGCAGTTACTCAGGCAACTGGATATGATTTTGAAAACGTCAGACGTTTCAGCTATTGATTGATATGCAAATGAAGTGAAGACAAATTTGTCTTCACTTTATTTGCATATCAATCAATAGGTTGTGCTTATAAACCTGCATTTCCCCTCTGGTCTCTCAGTCACTGACGAAAGCTAGTGGATACTAGCTGAAACGTCTGTGGTTTTCAAAATCATATCCAGTTGCTTGAGTAACTGCTTTTTGGCGTATCGAATTACCTGGATGTCTAACCTTCATCGACGAAAAGGTTATGACATGATTTCTCGTCAGTATGGGGAACAATTGTTCGAAAGATGCAGTCAAAATAAGGTGTGCTTGTTTAACATATTTCTATCTTGTATATATATAAGTTGTTTATAAGTCGTTTATAAGTTTAACAACCAAATTTCGTGGACGCATTAGTAGACGCGCGGATTTCTACAATGTGTCTTTGGCCCAGTACATGGTCGATGAAATGCATATCATTCGAACTGTTGCGTATCGTAGATGTATGGATGCTAAATGTTTGTGCTGTGAATTGTGCGTCCACGTCAGTATGATATTTTTGCCATGTTGTGTTCAACATGACTTTTCTAATTTTCATCTGTTATCTTTGCATTTCAGAGAGGTTCGTCCGCTGGTGGTGACGACGTCGCGTTTTCAATGTTTGCCTCCAGTACCTAAGTTTCCGGGTTAGTATACAATGTATGTAGCAGGATTAGTATGTGTTATAGGGAACTTTAGGCAACGACCTTTCGTTGAACATCAGTTTTACAGTACTAGTAAATGACAAACAGTAAAGGCCTACTTAGAGTAGAACTGTTTTGCAGCACTAGCTAACATAAGATGTCTACTTTGATATGCAGAAGTGGGTCGATGTTGTTGTACGTTTTTTTTCTGCAGTAAGGATCAGAAAGTCAACATTCTGGATCCCAGAAGTCGTCGAGGACGTTCTGAGGGAAATCTCGTCAGACGAAGCTGTCAATCACGAGTACATCCCCGTCCCCGGCCTGCCAGAATTCACCTCGGCTGCCACACGGATGGTCTTCGGCGATAACTGCAGCGCCGTTCGTGACAACAAGGTGGCGCCCCTAAGCAGTATCAATGACAATTACAATGAACTTCATTGCATATTCACGCCCTACATGGGCCAAATGCACTAAGCTAGATAACTGAGGTAGAAGGAACAAGTGTTACATTGCTGTGCTACATCTATATCTACAGGATCCCTCCTTTCTTTTCGAAACATGTATGAACAAATTTAAATAGTTTTTCATTTAAATCATAGCGCTTGGATGTCATAATATGTTCAAACAATTCTATTTATATATCTGTACAATTCAGCTGAAAGTATAAGATGTTCAAAACCTTCGTTTTTTGGAAGACGTGTTCCTATATCTCTAAAGTGATCTGATTCTTTCCTACTTTCCAGATTGGTTGTTTCCAGACTATAGGTGAGACCGGTGCCGTCCGGCTAGGGGCGGACTTCTTACACAGACAACTCCGGATGAACACTGTGATGTTACCCAGGACGTCAGCAGGTGGGGGCTTTTTATTCATGCATATTGCTCATTGCTACCATTTTCACCACCTAATACATGGCATCCTAATGAGTTACTAGTAGCTTGAAACAATATCAAGGGGCAAGAATAGCAGAAGAATTTGAGGTGAATGACGAGGAAAAGAATCATTGATAGTCTCTCTCTCTCTCTCTCTCTCTCTCTCTCCCTCTCTTCGTGTGTGCGTGTGTGCGTGCGTGCGTGCGTGTGTGTGTGTGTGTGTGTGTGTGTGTGTGAGGTATTCTCAAAAGACTACTGTGCAACAACAGGATGGTACAGTTCCTTTACAGATATAATTAAATTGTGCTCAAAATCATAATACAGATGTATGTTCATGCAGGTTTATATCATGATGTTTTTCAAGCGGCGGCGTTCAGTGAGGTCCTGTACTACAACAACAAATCGCCGGGAGAAAATGACTTTTTTGAAACACTGAAGGTAAGAACAATTAGCCATATCGGTCCAATAAAGTAGGTATAGTAATGTACTCATCAATTGCTAATAGCTCAACTTTTTCATCAGAGTTTTCCAGTTGGATCCGTTGCAGTAGTTAATGCTGACACCCTATCAGATGCCCTCATCACGACTGGTGCCTTACAGAAGTTAGTCGACACAATTGAGGTAAGGCACAGTTCAATTGCGCCATCTTGCGGAGTAATGCCAAATAGCAGGCCCATGTCATCAGTGGCAACGTCATTAAAACGTATTGGAATGACCAAACGAAGAAATAAAACAGGCAGTTTTGTGTCTGAATTGATAATTCACTACTGGTCATTCATCTGCTAGGGAGATTTTCCTCTTACCTCCATTCCATTCTCTTTAAATTTTCCATGATACATTTCAATATACACAAGTATCTACTCGCTCTAAACTTTTTTTTTTCAGTGCAAAAAAGTATAATTCAATTGCGTTTTCTACATCTTAAAGGTAAGGAAACTGTTCCCGTTGGTGCTGGCGGGCGGACTGGGTCTCGTGTCGGGGTCGGTGGAGAGGGACGCCGGCGTGATCCGGTCGTTGGCGGCCGGGGGAGTGGAGATGTTTGTGGCGGTGTCGCTCTCCAGGCAGTTCGGGCTCGGTGGTGAGTAGTGCCGCCTACCGGTACCGGTATGGTAACGCTAAAATCATTTAGGTACAAATACCAGAATATCAATGTATTGGTACTGAATAGACTTACGCTCTAATATATAACTTTTTTTACTCATATTGTTACTTCAAGCGTGTTATTCCTGTCACAATGATGGACCTTTAGGCCTTTAGCGCTGGAAAAAGATAAAACATGAAATCAGCCTCATCTTTGATTCATAAGATAGATGAAGCCCAAACAAACATTCTGTCAAATGTTTATTCACGTTTCTCTCAGTTCATCATTGAAAACCCCATGTTATATTGTCAAAATGTTTAGGTACAGGTGCAAGTCCAGAACAGTGCCTAAACCTCTGTTATTTGATTTGCTTAGCTGT